AAAGCACAGGTAATAATAATCCTAGTCAATACAACCAAGGAATAAAGTAAAAGGCATACAAATAGGAAAAGAAGTGAAATTATTTCTATTTCCAGATGACATGATTATATACATAGAAAACCCAAAAAATCCACACAAAACTTCAGGAAGTGATAAACACTGTAGAGTGACAATATACAAAATCAGCATTAAAGAATCAATAACATTTTTACACATCAACAATGAACAGACTGAGGTAGAACTGAAGAAAAGAATTCTGTGTACAATAACTACAGAAAATATAAGATACCTAGGAATGAGCCTAACAAAAAAAGTCAAAGACCTCCACAGGAAAACTATGAAAAAATCAAAAAAGAAATTGAAAATGATACAAATAATGGAAAGACATTTCATGTTTCTAGATTGGAATTAATATAATCAAAAGGTCAATGCTATCCTAATTGTTTTATAAGTTTAATGCAATCACAAATTACTAGAGACATTCTTCACATAATTAGGAAAAAAATATGTCTGGAATCATAACATTGCAAAAGCAATAGTATGCAAACAAAATGCAGAAGGCTTCTCACTCCCTGACCCCAAAATATGTTACAAAGCTGCTATAATCAAAACAGCATAGTAATGGCATAAAACAGGCATGTAGACCAAAGGAACACAATAGGGAATCCAGAAATGAACCCCCCAAGCATGCGACCAACTGATTTTTGACAAAGGGCATAAGTTGATAAAATAGGGAAAACAAAAATCTCTTTGGTAAATAGTGGTGGAACTGGATAGCTACCTGCAGACAGATGAAAATGGATCTCTATCTCTCACCATTAGCAAAACAATTCAAAATGAATCAAAGATCTAAAATTAAAACTTAAAACTAAAACTACTGGTTGTAAACACAGGGAAAACTCTTGGAGATATCAGTTGGCAAAAGACTTTTTTAAATAAGACCCCCAAAGCACAGGTAATAATCCCCAAAATAGACAAGTGGTATTACATAACATTAAAAAGATTCTCCACAGTGGGACCAGCAGCTGGCATGATGGCTATGTCTCTGGACTCCCATGTAGTCAACTGTGGTTTAAGTCCTGGACCTGGTGGCTTAAAATCATGCCTGGTGCGTGTGCATGCCCAAGATCCTGAGAGTAGAATGAAGGAGAAGGGATTGCGGTGTGGCCATCCCCCATCACTGGGGGATGATTTCTTGCTTTCTGTCTCTCTGTCTCAGTCTTTCTGGTGAGCGCACGCACCCTATAGCAAAAATCTCTCAAAAAAAAAAATTCTACACAGCAAAAGAAACAGTAGTTAAAGTGAAGAGATTACCCTCAAAATGGGAGAATATATTTGCAAACTATATTAGATAAGGAACTGATAACCAGAATATAAAAGGAACTCAAGTTTATAAGAAAAATTATCAGTCCAATTTAAAGATGAGAAAATGAGCTGAACAAACAACTATATAATAGATATATAGGTGTGTGTGTGTGTGCACGCACATGTGTGTGTGTTTCTAGATATATTTTTCTGAGATATATCTATGTATTTATACATCTAGATAGATTTTTCTCAGAAAAAGGAAAAAAAAAACCTAATAGAATGAAAATTGAAGGGTTTTCCAGGAATGGAGAGGGTGAGGAAAGAAATCAAGGAGAAAAATAGAGTCAAGACATTTATGGGACACAAAAATAGATGATTATCTGATAATAACGTATATAATATCTTCAACTGGACTGGTTTGAAGTGTATTCATGTTGGGGAAATTCACTTTACAAGCTGTAGCAATGTATAGTGATTGAGTGTATAAAAGAAATGAAAATAAAAAGAAAGTTGAAAATTTATCACATAATAGAATGTTGGTTGAAGATGATGAATAATATTCTTGGTTTTATCATTGCACACTGCATGCATGCTTTGGAAAACCATATTGTACCCCATAAATACATACAATTATATCTGAAATGATAAAATGAGAGAAAAGAAAATAAGGTCAAAATTTATGATAGCCTAGTGCAAAGGAGATAGGATTTATGCACTTCACCATGCTGGCCAGGATTTAATGTTTGTGAAAGAATTTTTTTTTATTCTAAAATATGCCAACTACATTTTAGTAGCATCAATTCATTCTCCGATTTAATGACTTTCCCCCTTTGTACAATGGCTAAGCACCTCGTGTCCTGTTGGCCTTCCAAACCAGTCACACTCCTTTCATAGAGACTCCACAGATGGGAAGCATGGTGTGGAGGGTTTCACTCCATTCACTATTTCTATGAACTCTGTTAGCACAGCACATTCCTGAACTAAATCTCTCTTGAACAGATACTGTGGAAAAATGATGACATAAAATGATCAATGTTGTGCCACCAAGGTCTAAAGATGAAAAATGAAAGTTGAAATGTTTATTTTGGATTCGACAGTGAACATACTGAAAAAGATTTAAAATGCTAATAAAAATAATTTTTGTTCTTCTCTCCACCCTCTCCCTGTTTTTGTAACAGGCTAATTATCTGCCATAAAACATGATCCACCAAGGTCTATGGCTCTTGTCAATCATAAAACAAAGAAACTTTCTGATGTTTGAGAAGTAGATAATGTTTAAATAATATCTCCATTAGTGATGGCACAAATCTAGAAATAGTTGAGATTTGTTTATTTGCTGTAAGTTTTCTATGGTTACATTTTTAAAATGAAGTATTTAATTCCACTTGATGTTGTTGTTGTTATTATTATTTAATTTGACCAGCAAGAGAAAGGGAAAGTGATAAAGCAAGCCACCTGGTCCAAGGACTTGAACCACAGTAGACCGTATGGGAGTTCAGCACCTTAACTACCGGGCCACCTCCCAGCCCTGTGGTTACATTTTTTTTTTTTTTTAGGGGTGTTAAAAAATACTGGCTCACCCTCTGGTGCAGCCAGTAATATGCTAGACTGAGAAGCTGGAAGCCACAAGGCTACCACAGTTCAGGTCCTGGGTCTGGTTGGAGCTGTGCACATGTGCCTAATATTTTGATAGGGCCGAAGGAGGGGATTTTGTGACTGAACCCTATGTACGTTACTTCCCTTGCTCTCCCTTTCTTGTCATTCTTGTGCATATCCCTTGTGTTCTGCCATGAATAACAAACAAACATACAAAGAAACAAAAATTGGGGATGATTTTAAAAACTCAACTCTGGCAATGATGGCCTACGGAATTTGATGTCCTTTATATAGCAATCATTATTGAAAATCTGAAAAATTATAGTAAACTAATTTTTTTTTGAGAGGATTTTTTGCTATAGGGCACGTGCGCTCACCAGACAGACAGGGAGAGACATAGAGACAGAAGACGAGAAATCCCCCCCCAGGGGTGATGGTCACGCCGCAATCCCTTCTCCTCCATTCTCCTCTCAGGATCTTGGGCACGCACGCACACGCGCCTGGCGTGAGTTTTAAGCCACTGGGTCCAGGATTCGAACTGTGGTCGACTACGTGGGAGTCCAGCGACATAGCCATTACGCTAACTACTGGTTCCCAAAATGTACTCTTTTTTAAAAAGGCCTTTGCCAAAAAAAAAAAACTTTAAAGCTCTAGTAACCAAAATGTCATGGTACTCTCATAGAAACAAACAGGCCAATGAAACAGAATAAATAGCCAACAACTACATACAATTATAGCCACTGATTTTTAATAAAGGTGTCATGGTTGACAGTTATGTCATTGGACTCCTACATGGCAGACTACAGTTCGAGCCCCAGACCCAGTAGCTTGAAAATCATGCCAGGCATGTGTGTGTACGTGCCCAAGACTCTGGGAGGAGAATGGAGGAGAAAGGATTGCAGCATAGCTGTCCCCCCTGGGGATTGATTGATATCTCTCTCTCTCTCTCTCTCTCACAAGCCTACTTGTCCTAAGGGGGGGGGAGGGAAATCTTATTAAAAAATAAATACATAAATAAATAAAATAAAGGATGCCAAGGAAAAAAGAACAGTTTCTTCAACAAATGGAGTCAAGACAACTATATTCACAAGCAGAAAAATTAATTTAGACCTGTAGCTCAGAATATATACCAAAACCAACTCAAAATATACTGAAGACTTGAAGGAGATCTAAAACTGTAAAACTACTAAAGTAAAACTTAGGAAGTAAGGTCTATAACATTGGTCTGGACAATGATTTTTTTTTTAAGGTATGACCCCAAAAACAAAGGTAACAAAATCAAAAAACAGATAAATGGGATTAAAAAGCTTCTGCACAGCAAACAATCAAAGAAACAATTTACAGAATAAGAGAAAACACTTATAAACTGTATATCTTATAGTTGGCAATAAGGTAAATTAGTACAACAATTATGGAAAACACTATGTAGCTATCTTTTTCCCCCCAGGGTTTTTTTTTAAATGTATATAAGTATATAAGCAAAATTATTTAACAGTCAATAAATTCTTATTTAAGGAATATCCAAATTTCTTTTTTTTTTGGGGGGGGGAGGTTTTGGCTATAGGACACGTGCACTCGCCAGAGGGACAGAGAAAGACAGAAAGTGAGAAATCACCTCCCAGGGGAGATGGTCACTCTGCAATCCCTTTTCCTCCATGGGGAGATGGTCACTCTGCAATCCCTTTTCCTCCATTTTCTTCTCAGGATCTTGGGCACACACACACACATGCCTGGCATGAGTTTTAAGCCACTGGGTCCGTGACTCGAACCACGGTCAACTACATGGGAGTCCAGTGACATAGCCATTACGCTAACTGCTGGTCCCAGAATATCCGAATTTCTGATTCCTTCCACTGCTCACCAAGGACACCACCATCTTCATTCCTCCAAGGCCCAAGTCAAGATAGTCCTTTTTAAAAGAACTGGTACTTAATTCATAGTTGTCCTGTCAGCCCTACCTGAATTTTGTGTCTTCGTTTTTCTCCATTAGAACTATGACATATTGGTAACTTCAAAGACTGTCCACCCGGGATCATTGGGATCCAATTTCATTAAATAATTGACTTCAGGTCCTTTGACTTATGAACTTATTAGCAAAATGTTACAGGTCTCATTGTCACCACTATAATACGTTTACTGTGATGGAAGCATAGCCTGTGTCTCAATTTAGCCACATTAACAATTTTGGACAGTGATCGACAGTGTCCAGTCGAAACTAGAGTGAGGCTTAGTATGTAGTTATCTTTAAAAAGTAAGCATAGTGCCACCATTTGATCCCAGCAGCCTCAGTATGAGGTACATATGCAAAGGAAATGAAGTGAACATGTAGAAGAGATATTGGAACTCTCATGGCCCCAGCATTATTCACAATGGCCAAGATATGGAATAGAGTTAGGTGCTCATCAATGAGTGGATAAAGAAAATATGATACAAACACACAGACACACATGAACATGGATCTTATGTCTCTCTTTAAAAAATAAAACTCTGGAGCTAGGATGTGGGCCAGCAGTGTTAGAACTGAACCCACATGGGGAGGGTTCTTGGTTCATATCCCATTACCTCCCTGAGCACACCTGGAACAGGTACATGTGTCCATGATCTAGAGTCAACTGAGAGTGGAGTTGGATCATGGCATAGAGACCCAGTTTGGAGTGCCTGTATTTCTGTCTGTCTCCATCTCTTCTTTATGTCATGAAAGAAACAAAAAAGAAGAAAAGGAAATTCCATTATTTTTAACAATATGAATAAAACTGAAGGACGTTTCAAGTGAGAGAACAACACAGAATGTCAAATATTATATAGTCGTGTTCATATATGGAATCTAAAAATGTTGATCTTGAAGAAATATAGAGTAGAATGGTGATTAATAGAGGCTGGGTAGTTGGTCGTGGAAGTTAAGATCTTAGTCAAAGCTTTCAAAATTTTAGTGAGATAGGAGGTATAAGTTCAAGAGATCTACTACACAATACAGTGATTAGAGTTAATAACATACTGTATTTTTGAAAAATGCTAACAGAATGAATGTTAAATATTTTCAACATAAAAATGATAATGGCAAGGTAATAGATATATCAATCAGCTAGATCTAGTCATTTCTCAATTTTTATATACATTGAAATATCATGTTATACACCATACATACAATTTTGTCAATTTACAAAAAAATAGATAATAGCCTTACCTGCTTAAAAGTATTAATTATCCTTCAGTTTTTCCCAAATAATATAATTAATGAATACAGAACTTTCTACTAATTCAGCAGCACAAATAAAAAACCCTAAGCCTAAGAGAGATTGTGATCTGACACTCTGAATTACTCGACGCTTTGTTTCTTTCATTTAAGCCTCTATTTAAGATTCTTTTAAAACATAGACCAAGGTTTGGCAAACTATGGTCTGTGGGACAAATCTGGCCCACAACCTATTTTCGCAAGATTTTATGGAAACACGGTCACACACATCCTTTTATATATTGTCTATGCCTGCTCTTTAGTTACAACAGAAGGGTTGAGTAATTGTGACAGAGACCATCAAGCTCCTCTGGAAGTCTAAAATATTTATCATCTATCCTTTTCCCCAAAAAAAGAGAAGCTGTCAGTCTCTAACATAGCTCATGAAGAATGTTATAGCTGGCCTTGTTCAAATTCACATCAAAATGATTAAAGAAATCGACGCAGAATGTAGGCTTGGCATAATAAATCTGAATTCATTGAATGAAAGCCTATATTTAAATGTTTAAATGATTGCTTTCTTTTACTTACAACAGTTTGAAACTACATGAATATACATTCACCTACCTAAAGTTGAATCAAATACTAAGTGAATTCTCTAACATCTGTGATTACAAATATTGAGGATGCTGTCTTCTGGCTAAGTTATCTTAAGCACCACTTAGCTGCCTCATCACTGTTTATGAAGACTATGCATAAATGGCAGTTCTTCTGGAACATACTGAATGAAAACTCTGGAACACAGCTTTCCTCTGGGATTGCCACTAGCAACCTGCATAACTAGCACACTGCATAACTTCAGAATAACTCTCTAGCCTTCGGCCTTCTCCATTCCCAGTCAAAGTTCTAAAACTTAAGAGAAGACATAGGCAAGTAATGCAAAAGTTCCAGAACTGCAGCAACAAAGCACAGAAGCTGACCATATATTCTACTTTGCTATAGCAGAACTGGATTAATATGTAACCCAATATCATTTATTACGTTAAATTACATGTACATGAAAGAATGGTAGTTTTTAGAAGAGTACAGAGAGAAAGATGAAATACACTAGAAAAGTTGTCTGTACAAATGTAAGAGAATAGAATGAGTGCCCCAAATCCCCAAATTTCTGGTCTCATTTTACAAACTGTGTATTACCCTAACAGCTGTTGATGGTGAATCAGTCACTCACACATTCATATCTATTAACCTGGTGTGGATAATTTCCTCCTAGGTTACTGTGATTAGGGAGACTCTGGAAGGACAGAAACTTTTGAGCAGAGTAAGAAAATAAAGAAAAGTTACAGGAAAAGTGAATCTAAAAGATGTGCTACTTAACAGGAAAACATTTCTCTTCTCAGTTAGAAAAAGCAATATGCATTCAGCTGTACAAAGCTACAGTCCTAAAGAATCTTCCTTGAGGACCACTAGATGGTGTAGTGGTTACATAGCTGGACTCTCACATGGTTGACTGCAGTTCAAGTCCTGGACCCGATGGCTTGGAAATCACACTGGTCACGTGTACATGCATGCCCAAGATCCCAGGAGGAGAATGGAGAAGAAATTGTGGAGATTTTTCATTTTTCCTCTCACTGTCTTTGTCTCCAACAAGTGCATATGCCCTATGGCAAAAACCTCTCTCAAAAAAAAATTTTTTTTTAAATCATTCTTGAAATGATATTCTCCCATCTTTCACCCATATCAAGTCTACTGGCCTATATGGCTGCTTTTATCTCATAAACCTTTTTCAGATCTATTCACTTCTTACCCATCTAGGCTGTGTTGGTCATATCTATCTTACCTTCCTCCCTAGTCCAAGGTACCCTCATTTGGGACCAGCAGTTGGCATAAAGGCTATGTTGCTGATCTCCCATGTAGTTGACTACAGTTCGAGTCCCAGACCCAGTGACTTAAACTCATGTCAGGTGTGTGTGTGTGTGTGTGTGTGTGTGTGCATGTGCATGAGCACGCGCCCAAGATGCCGAAAGGAGAATGGAGGAGAAGGGATTGCAATGTGGCCATCCCCCCTGGGTGGGTGATTTCTCACTTTCTATCTCTCTCTTTGTCTTTCTGGCAACACACACACAAAATCCTCTCAAAAAGAAAAAAAAAAAAAAAGGCCAAAATTTAGTATCTCCTAAAAAATTCATAGAAATTAAAAAAAAAAAATTCAGTCTTTCCTGGATACATGAATGTTCTCTGTTTCAGTCACTGGGATTGGTCATACCTCCTCACTCCTATAGCAAGAATTCCCCTGATCGACATACGAAAATCAAGTGCGATTGTGAAAGCCAACCTCACAAAGGAATATCATGTGTATGTCAGGTCAAATTCGGGGTGTTACCTACATGAAATAAATTCTAGTTAAGCAGGTATCTTTGAGCACACCAGGCAAGCACATACCCATGTTCCAGGGAAGGCTAGCTGGCTCTCCCCACCCCTCTCTCCTCACTCATGAAAGAAATTAACTTAGGAAGAAAAAGAAGAAAAGACATTACAGAGCTAAGTTTTACCTACAGAGCTTAACTTTTATGTTAAGTGACTTTTAGACTATGAAAATACATGAATTATTACTTTTGAAATCTTACTCAAATTCCATGTCTTTGGGTAGTGGTTGACAAATTTTAACAGCAGGCTTACTGCATGACTAAACAAATACCTGATACAAACCTGTATCAAGAGACAGAGCTTTCAGTTATATAGTGCATATAAATATGCTTCTTGTTTAATGTGTTTTGACTAGGAAAGGATTCTAAAATTAAGAGAGGTAATTACCTTAATATATCTTAAAGCTTTTTTTCCCTAAAATTATAATATCTGTCCTATACATCTATATGTCTAGACTCAAATGCATTCATTTGTATGCCTTTATATTTAATACAGGTACATATATTATACATTTGTAATGTTATATTCTGTGGGGTTTGAAGAATTAACTAAACTAGTTACATTATAATCATATTCTTTGCTCAAGAATCCAAAACTCCTTTATCCCTCAATATAAGTTTTCTATTGCAACGAACTACAAAGAACAATAGCTTTAAATAACACATATTAGTTTATATACACATCTAGGTGTTTACAGTCAGATGCAGCTCTCAGTGGGCTAAAGTCAAGGTGTCAACAGGGTTACTTTTTCTGGAGGATCCAGGGGGAGAACCTCTATCTTTTTTCCATTTCTGGAGGATGTATGCATTCCTTCGGTTTGTAGCTCCTTCCCTCATCTTCAAAATCAGCAGTTCAAGTGCCTGACTCGGATATTGAATCTTCTGACTCTCTCCTTCATTATGATGACCCTTGTGATTACACTCGATAATCTACCTCAATAATCCAACGTATTCTCCATACTTTAAAAAAATAGATGTATTTATTATTACTTAATTTGCTATAGGACACATGTGCTCACAAGATAGAGAAACAGAGAAAAAGAGAAAGCAAACTGCCATGTACAAGGACTCGGACCCTGATCAGCCATGTGGGAATCCACCACCTTAGCCATCATGCCACCTGCTGGCCCACTCTCTACATTGCAAGTCCTTAATTTCATTTTCCAACACGAGGTAACATATGTATTTACAGGTTCCGGCCATTCAGATATGGACATCTTTTGAGGAGGCATTGGTTCTTCCTACCACAGCATTCATTCAGGTTCATTTTTCTGCTTAAATTTTTAGGTAAAAATTAAAGTAAGGATTTTGCTCAATTGTTTTTAAAGAGAAGAGATTAAAGTCTACTTGCCTTAAAATACCTGCAAAGCCCTCCTATGAAGTACAGTTTTACCCAGAATAATTCTTTTTGTAGTCCTCCATATATGAGCTTACTAACTTGGAGACTCAAGGGGAAGTCGTTTCTGGTGCTCCTAAGAGAGAGCACATCCTTGGAGCAAGTGTTCTTGGGAGGAGGCAGCGTCATTTTAAATGAGGAGGTGAGTGGGCAGACAGGTCAAGGTTAGAAAAGTAACAGACGCAAACAAAGCTGATGAATTCCTCTTCCCTCTCCATAGCTACAAAGCAAAAT